TCCATTTGTTGGTATTAATTTTCCAACTTTTTGATATTATTTTCAAATTCAGAAATCTGCTCCCATTTAGTAGTCGTAAAAATTTTCATTCTCCATTATTGCATTTTTACATCTTTCCATATCTTTGATTTGTTATTGTTTTCCTGTGTGCTGATCTCTCCATGGCCACAGAACATTGGGAAACCCTTGAGAAATAGTTCAAGAAACCAATAAACACAAATCTCTTTTTTTTTTTTTGCCACCTTTGCTTTCTTCCAGGTCGGAGAGTATGTGCAGGTGAGAACCTTGCCAAAATGGAGCTCTTCCTCTTCTTCACCAGCCTCTTGCAGAAATTTACCTTCCAGCCACCCCCGGGAACATCTAAAGATGACCTGGATCTGACTCCTTGTATTGGGCTTACTTCCTCTCCCATGCCATACAAGACCTGTGCTGTGTTACGTTGATCTGACCCAAAAAAAAATTATAACAAGCTGTTTTCTCAGCCTTGAAATGCCTTCATTTTGACAGAGAGGCAAAATTTAACAATAGAATTCAATATTGTCTAGCTTTTAAAAGATGAATGGTAATGATCTATAATCTCATGGAATGTGGATTGTGATATGAAAGAATAATTAGGAGATCATGAAAAGCAAAGTGCTTTTCTTTTGGAACCATTTGTTTTCTTAGCTTTTTACTATTCTTTTGTCTTCTTCAACTTTTTGTTGAGAACTTTTTGTCTGATTTGTTTTAATGAAGAACAGTGATTTTAATTACTTGGTAAAAAGCAGTATCATTCTTTTGTGGAATAGTCCCTAGTGCAAATTTGCTTCTACAATCTACACCATCCAGGGTCCCTCTGTGACAGCGATGGGCAGTTTTAAAAAATTGATCAATAAATAAATACCTACCTAGTCATTAATTATATTCTTTTTAAAAAAACCATAAAATAATAATGTTAGTAATATTAGAACTACTAACAATAATTATGATTAGAAAGTACATTCTACACTACAGTATATAATCAGGAACCTCTGACAAAAATTAAGTCTCTCTCTCTGTGTTGTGGCCTACTGTCTTCCATTTTCTTTTCCTCTCCCCCACCTCCTGCGAGCTTGCGATACCCCTCACAGCCCTCACATTGCCTCCCGGGGCTCGAGTCTTCCCCCTCAACACTTCCCAAGGTGCCCAGCTTTACGGAGGGGAAAGCAAAGTGGCCAGATGGTGCGTGCCCTCCCGGAGGACTCATCCCATGGCAGCAGGTGGGAATCAAGGCCCACGTTTGTTTTGCTGATGCTGATCAGAATGGTAACTCGGGGGCGGCTGTGGGCAGGGGAAGCTGCTCCCTTGCTCTGGGCTCGCTGAGCTCAGCTCTCTGCTCCCCACTCCCGATACCAATCGAAGTGGCCACAATGGTGCCGCACACTCAGTAACCACCCAAGCACCATCCCCCACCTGGCCCTCATTGGCCACTACACGCTGCCTGTCGGGCACAGCACAGTCTCGTCGGGCCGCGGTGATGGCTCGAGGTGATTGCCGGCGCCTTGTTGGCTCAGGTCGGCCACCCGTGAGAGGCATCTGATGGTGACTCGGGGGACAGCCATGGGCGGGGGTGGCTGCTCCCTTGCTCGCTGAGCTCTGCTCCTGATACCGATCGAACATTCCAATGCCCACATGCTGGGAAACCGATCCAGGCACCGCAGCAGAAGCCACAAGCTGTGGGGGATCACTGCCAGCGCCGCCGGAGCCAGCTACAATGGAGCACCAGCCAGATGCTTCAACCAGGCGCCGGTGGCCTCCTCGGGATGCCCCGCCCATCAGTGACGTTGCCGTGCCACGTTCCGTGATGCCAGTGAATCCCGGCCCCCCCGTAGCCGGCCACCATGGCATGCCGGCCACCATGGCATGCCGGCCAGGTTTTCTAACTAGGCACCAGCGGGCCGTCCTAGGGTGCGTTGGAGTCCTGCACGCCGCCCAGTAGGCTGCTATCAGCTGTTCTTCCTGCTTCAGCAGCTGGCTGCATGGGCCCCCACCCTCGTAGGAATGTCGAGTCCACGGGGCTTGACCACCCCCCACCCGGCACTCATTGGCCATTACGCGCTGCCTGTCAGGCGCAGCATGGTGTCATCGGGCTGCGGCAGCGGCTCGAGGCGATCACCAGCACCTCGGCTCAGGCCGGCCGCCCGTGATTGGTTGGCTCCCTCATTGTGTCCCTCCCCCACAGAAAGGGCATGGCTCTTCATGCAGGCTTGCCCCCTCGCGGGGCTCCTGATTGGCACTGTGCCCGGGCACCCCACCCGCTGAGAAGTGCAGCCAGGAAGTCCCTTTCCTAGGGAGACACACGATCCCGGTGCTACCGTAGGCCTCGCTGGCCGGGAAGGCGTGCCGGAGTCCCGGCTGCCGGGAAGGCAATCAGCTCGCTCCTCTCCCATCACCCGCTCTGCCCGGCTCGAGCCTGGCTGGAGCAGTGTTGGTACTTCCAAAGGTGGCTGCTTCAAGGTCACACGGGCAGCCCTCGGCCATTCCCCTCCCCTCCACATGTCCAAATTGATCCCCAGGAAGAGAGGGAGAGAAAGAGAGAGGGAGAGAGAAAGAGAGAGGGAGAGAAAGAGAGGGAGAAAAAAAGAGAGGGAGAAAGAGAGAGGGAGAAAGATAGAGGGCTAGAGAGTGAGGAAAGGAGAGAGAGGGGGGAGAAAAAGAGAGGGAGGGAGAGAGAAAGAGAGGGAGAGAGAAAAAGAGGGAGAGAGAGAGAGAGAGAAATAGAGAGTGAGAGAGAGAAAGTGAGAGAGAGAGGGAGAGAGAGAAAGAGAGAGAGAGGGAGAGAGAAAGGGAGAGAGAAAAAGAGGGAGAGAGAGGGAGAGAGAAATAGAGAGTGAGAGAGAGAAAGTGAGAGAGAGAGAGTGGGAGAGAAAGAAAGAGGGAGAGAGATTAAATTATTAACATGGTTCTTAAGTGAATCTGGTTTCCCCACTAACTTTGCTAGTCAGAAGGTTGCAAAAGGCAATCACATGACCTTGGAACAATGTGACCATCATAAATATGAATCGGTTGCCAAGCATCCGAATGTAAATCATATGACCCTGGGAATGCTGCAACAGTCATAAGTGTGAAAAATGGTCATAAGTCACTTTTTTCAGTGCCGTTGTAACTTTGAACAGTCAATAAACAAACTGTTGTAAGTCAAGGACTACCTGTACTTTATCACTTTTTTCCATTTTTTTTTTTTTTGGTCATCAAGTTTTTGACACCTTGCTAGGTGACTCGTGGTGTTCGAATGTTGCCATATTCTAAAAGTGGTACAATCGGTGAAAAGGTTGAAAAGCCCTGATTTATGTCATTACTAAGTTGTTATCACCATTTCAAGGTTCTTCAGCCACTATATATACTGTATGAAGTCAATCTTTACCAAAATGTGGGTACAAATTATTGGTTGAGAACATGAAGGCACTCTTGAAAATGCTCTAACTTATTTTTTAACCAAAAAAACCCTACAAAATCAATCACCAGTCCATGAATATAGTTACAATTACCTGGTTTCAGCAAGTTATTCATTGAATTGTACTAATAGAAGTAATAATAATAATAATAATAATAATAATAATAATAATAATAATAATAATAATAACAACAACAACAACAACAACAACAATAATAATAATAATAATTGCTTGAGCAGGGTCCGTAAGATTGTTTGGGACACTACACTTCTTCTTCATGACTTGTTTTCCTTGTTACCTTCTGGGAGGAGGCTCCGCGGTATCGGAAGCAGAACATCCAGATTCAGTCACAGTTTTGTTCCATACAGTATTAACTCTCAAGCTTTCTCTCACCACTCTGTATTCAAGATGGACAGTGATTAATATTTATATGTATTTATATATAAGGGTGTATGTCTAGGCATATGTTATATATAGTATGTTTAAATGTGTGTTATGTATGTGTATACTTTGAGAGCAAGCAACTAAATTTCATTTTTAATGTGTGCTGTTGTGCCCACAGAAAAACAATGACAATAAAGTTAATCTAATCTAATCTAATCTAAACATATTCATCCCCCGTGAGACACTACCTTGACATGGTTGTGGGGCTTGTGTGCTCTGAGGAAGATGAGAGCTATGCCAGAGGTTCAACCATACTGGACAGGTCTCATCAGAGGAGTCAGAAAATGAGTGTCTCTCCCATAAAAAAATATATGGTGAGACATAAGTTTCAGAAAGCCTGCCAGCTCAGATGTCACCTGGGTTAATAAGGTCTGCACTAGATGTTGGAATTCCTGGATATCTGGTGAAAAATGGGCTACAGGACTCTCAAGACTGTTGGCTGAGTAAACAGGACCAGAAGCTGCAGAACTACTAGAAGAAAAGGTGTTTACCAGTGGCAAATGCACAGTGATCAGGAAAAGAAAGAAATAATGGTCTGTTATTACAGATCAAGTCCAAAAAGAAGAGGACAATTGAGAGGAATGGACCAGTCTAGAATCAGAAATAACAGAACAGAGGTTAGCAGATCAATGTCGATTTATAATACGAAATAAAGTATTCACAGAAGCAGAATTGGAAGAACTGCAAAGGTTTACCCAGGTCAAAGAAATCAAAGCCTTGCCAGAAGTAACTCAGAATGTAGAACAAACCAGGGGGAGTTGGCAGTAGAGGAATCCAACAGAGATATAAAACTGTTTTCATTTGGAAACCAGACATCCTCTTCTCTGCCTCTAATTAAAAAAGAATTGAAACAAAGAATAACTGAGCACCTAGAACAGCACAAAAACATCAGAATAAGGCTGCCTGCATTGAAGCTTATTCCAAAGAAACATCTAGTACAAGCATTAAAAGATGCAAATACTGCAATATCAAGTATAAGCACCAACTCATTCCAAGAAACAAACCAACTAATGTACAGCATAGCTGCAGTTATAACTGATTACTTGGGATGCAAAATCAACAAAGAAGAAGAAAAGCCAAAAAGCACCTCAAAATGAAAGATTAGATTGGAAAATAAGATCAGCAAGTTCAGATCAGACTCAAGCAAGCTAGAATAGATGAAAGAAAAGAAGCTGAAGAATAAGAAGACCAAAGAATAACTAATCAAGAAATGCCACTTAGAAATTAGGAAAATCAAGGAAGCACTGGAAATAATAAAACAGCAAATAACAGCTATAGCCAAGAAGATCAGCAGATACAAAGCTCGAATTGCAAATTATAGGCAGAACTTCCAATTTCAATCCAATCAGAAATGTTTCTATCAATCCATCAATGGAGAAACTGCAGTGAATCAATCAGTGCAGGAAGAAACAGTGCAGTTCTGGACGTAGATATGGGATAATCCAAAGAAATACAACAAGGAGGCAGCATGGTTAAAAGAAGAGAATAAGAATAAAAAAGAAGTTGAAATGAAAGAACTAGTAATAACAGCAGAAATGGTAGAGAAATAACAAGGAAGATCAAGAATTGGTCAGCACCAGGTGAAGATGAACTGCATGGTTTTTTATTGAAACATCTAACTGGTCTATTACCCACTCGTTGCCAAGCAGTTCAACAACATACTACAAGGAACTGAAATTGAAGAGTGGTTAACATCTGGAAAAACGTACCTGATAATGAAAGATTCAGCAAAAGGGGCAACAACAAGGAACTACAGGCCAATTACTTGCTTACCAACAACCTTCAAATTGCTAACTGGTGTGGTAGCTGATGCAGTCCAAGAGCATTTAGTTGAAAACAATCTCCTTCTACTTCAGCAGAAAGGAAACTGTCCCAATAGCAGAGGAACAAAAGATCAACTTCTAATTGACAAAATGATTTTGGAAAACTGCAAAACAAAGAAGACCAGCCTAAATGTAGCGTGGATTGACTACAAAAAGGCATTCTACTCTCTGCCACATGACTGGATAATCAAATGCCTAGAAATAGCAGGAGTAGTAAAAACATCAGAAAGTTTGTGCAAAGATCGATGGGACAATGGAAAACATAGCTGCAGGTCAATGGTGAGAAACTGGGAGAGGTTAATATCAAAAGAGGAATAGTTCAAGGAGATTCACTATCACCACTACTATTTGTCATTGCACTGTTTCCTCAGTCAACAATACTCAATAACTCGAAGCATGGCTATCAAAAACATCTGCCAGACTATCCACCTCCTTTACATGGACGATCTGAAGCTATATGGAAAAACACCATCTGAAATAGAATCGCTGCTCCATACTGTCTGTATATATAGCCAAGATATTGCAATGGAGTTTGGATTGGACAAATGTGCCACACTCACTGGATGAAGATGATTATTACAAGTATCTAGGTATCTTTCAAGCTGACAACATCAAGCACAATGAAGTCAAGAAAAAGATTAGAGGTGAATACATCAAGAGAATGAAGAAGATCTTAAAGTCCAAACTCAGTGGAGGAAATACCATCAGGGCAATCAACATCTGGGCAGTTCCAGTCATTAGATACACAGCTGGAATAGTGGACTGGACTCAAACAGAACTAAAAGCAATGGATAGGAAGACCAGAAAAATAATAACAATAAATCGTGCCCTTCAACCTTGCAGCGGCATTAACAGACTCTACCTACCAAGGCAAATAGGTGGGCATGGAATGTTGCAAGTACATCAGATGGTTGAAGAAGAAAAAATGGCTTTGGAAGAATATCTGAAGAACAATTATGAAGATGTATTAAAGGTAGTATGCTAGGAAGGCTTACTGACTACTGGAGAGACCAAAATGGCCTACAAGAAAGACCAAATGAAGAACAGAATAGAGGTGTGAGAAGACAAAGCACTACATGGTCAGTACATTAAAAAATAGCACAAGACGAACGAGCTCCTTCAACAGTACTTGAGGTGCTACTGCACCTAAAGCCAAGACAGCTGACCATCATTATTTTCACTTGCAAAATTTTCATACCAATTTACAGGAGCAACTTGCTGCCAAACACCTTTTGGAAAGGCAGCTTGAAACAGGCTTACAAAAAGGCAGCAGATGCCCATTGGCAGGAGTGCCCACCGATAGCAGTGGGAGACAAAGTTTGTCTCTCTACCAAGGTCTTAGCCACTTCAAGACCTTCCAAGAAGCTAGACACTAAATTTGTGGGATTTTCTGATTTTGCTGGCACTTGTTGTGATTCCGTGCCAGCCTGTGTTCCCAACAGCTGAGTCTGAGGAATCTGAGGAGGAGGTGGAGGAGGCCTTTGAGGGGCCGTCAGGGTCAGAGGGAGGCTCTGATGAATTACAGGACTCACGGCTTGATGAAGAGCCTGGCCCTCCAGTCGTGTTTCTGATGAAGCTCAGCTGTGTGAGGAGCATGAGTCAGATTCGGAAGGCTCACACCTGGACTTGCTAATTGATGCTCGCAGACGTTGTCAATTAGCGAGAGAAAAACAACAGCAGTCAATGCAACAACTCCAAAGTAAAAGGAGAAGGCAATGAGAGGCAATGCCCTGGGACTGCTGTATAAAAAGGGGAGGTGTGGGCGGTGCTGGTTGCTGAAGGCAACCGTTTGCAAAGTGCTTCTTGGAATCCTGGTCTGTTTGTCTTGTTTGCAACGTGTTCCTGTGGATTATTTCCTTCCTTTGGACTTGAGTTTTGCTGTTTGTGTTTTGGACTTATTGACAGGTTTGTCACCCAAATAAAAGGGATTTTGTTTTGTTTTAAAGTATCCAGCCTATTGTATCAGCAGGGGTTTGGTCCTTGTGCCTCTAACAAGGACGGCAATAGGCTGGGATAGAACAGCACTTGACATAATGTTAGATAAGCAACCAATTATTTTGCTGCCTAGGCTTAATTGGAATTCAATTCATGCTGTATTCCATATTTTAATAGATTATGTGTATATTATATATTGATCTTAAAAACTGGGTTTCATGAACAAATACATGAAACTAGTTTGGTGAGTTTTTGAAGATTTCGCTATTTCTGTAACACATGCAAGGACAGATCAAATTCCTGTTGGAAAAAAACAAGAGTAAAGTTCAGAAGTCCTTTATTGATCAGTTTGAGGATTCAGTAGAAAGAGAAGCTGGGCTCTGTTTAATACCTTGCTTTGAAATACATGTTGGAATCATTTCAGTTTTCAAAATTCCTTATGATTTTTACTGAAAACTGCTTACTAAAAGAAAATGGATTGGACTGGAACAATTTTAATATTATTAATATTTCTTCTTGCAATTATGTTCCTTTTGAAAAAGGGCAGTTCCTGGAATAACAACTCCCCCAATCTCCCTCCGGGACCCAGGACCATACCTATTTTGGGAAATCTGCACATGATGGATCTGAAGAGGCCTCACAGAACAATGATAGAGGTAAAGCCTGGTGATTAACAACCATCTTTACCATTCTTTGCCAAAACTTGTTTGGGATGGGACAAACTCCTGGTAACTTGGTCGGGTAAGTCTGATCTGCTTCCAGATGGTGTTTACTGTATATGGAAATATGTATCTGGTATTTGAATACATTTAAATATTCTGGAAGGATTATTTCAAGAAAATCTTTTTGTTAATCAATGTAAAATGTTCTAATTGAATAAACAATTTTCTTATTCTTTATTTAGATTTGCAGAAATGTTCAAACCCCAAGGAGCCTTTGGGGAAATATAAATGCTCTTAAGCTGAATGACTGGATATATACTTAGAAGCACATTTTTGTTTGCACATTTTAAGCAGAATTATAAATCAATAAACCAATTTCTGCAGTGATCAATACACAACCAAAATTAAGGGTAGAACGAGAAGTAAGGAGTGGAAACTTGTTAAAGAGAGATACAATCTAGAAGTTAGGACAAATTTTCTGACAGTGAGAACAATTAATCAATGGAACAGCTTGCCTCCTGGAATTGTGGCTACTCCATCACTGGAGGCTTTCAACAATATACCGGACAACAATTTGACTGGGATGGTATGCCATTACAATTGTCAATAGAAGAAAAAAGGGAAATGACATTATATGTGCCTTTTGAATTTTGACATGTAGTTTCTTAAACATCTACATATGTGATTCTAATTATTGATTAAAATTGTCTCTTTGTTTCCCTTCTGCTGAATTCCAGTGGTCAAAAGAATATGGTCCCATTTTCCGCATCAAACTGGGACTCCAGGAGATGGTGGTGCTGACTGGCTATGAGACGGTCAAAGAAGCTCTAGTGAACCAGGCTGATGCATTTGCAGATAGGCCCTTTGTTCCCATTTTTGAAGATGTAACAAAAGGGTTTGGTGAGTTATTTCGTTCTGGATTGTAGTTGACAAACTTTCAGATGTATGATCAGTATAATGTAGAACTTTTCATTTGAGGTTAACAGCCAGAAGAACCTCAGATGAGTGAGAGGGCTTCTGCAAATCTAACCAGGATGAAAATCCAGCTAAAACCTATATTGTGCCATTGTGACTTTGTCCCTCAGTGCCAATGGAGGTAACTGGAGAATAAAAAGTTGAGTCAATATTGTACCAAGCCCATGAGCCTCGCATACTGCTCACCACCATGTCCAATTCTGCATATTTGCAAATTTGGGGGTGGAGGGGTGGGTGTTTGAGGAATTCTAGTAGGAGGAATTTCTGCATTTCTCTCTCCTCATATAATGGTTATGCAAACCTTTTCTTTGTGCAATGTTTTTGCCAGTGTCTCTCAGAAATTAAGACCCTTTCGACCAGCTAGTACTCATTGGTGAATTTCTGCATCCTTAAAAAAATACTGTAAATTTGATTTTACAAGTTTTAAAAATATATGATTTTTGGATTTTGCAGCAGAAAGATGTTTGATATACGAATTTTTGAAAAGTAAAAATGGGTTAAGAGACCAGAGGAGTTGGAATTACAGTTTTGAATCATTTAGAAGATATTTTCACATGGAAAAATAATGATTGCTTTCATTTTTGCTTTGTTTTATTTGTTTTGTTTTGATAAGGAGATGCTGAAGGCTGAATACCAAAAGCAGAGGATAAAGAAAATGGATGAGAAATCTTTAGCACAAACTTTGAAATACCTTTCAGACAAATTCTTGGATAGACTGGATGAAACGCTTGATCAAATTGATGGAGCATGTTTTAATGAAGTTGTAAAACAAGAATGAGCTGCAAAGGATGGTAAAATTATATTTCATTATCTTACCCATTTTCTCTTCAGGTCTTGCATTTGCTCGTGGTGAGCACTGGAAAGTGATGCGACGGTTTACATTATCCACATTACGGGACTACGGAATGGGCAAGAGGACCATTGAAGACAAAATCACAGAAGAGTGTAGTGTCTTAACGAAGACAATGGAGACTTATGCAGGTGGGCTGATATGCTATAATGGAGCATCTTCTGGGATAAATGTAGAACGGGAAATAGTTTCTGCAGATTATATCAAATGAACAAGGACTGTGTTGGGAAATACCTTCTCTCCAACAATTCTTAAACCCATTGTTTTCTCCCTATAAGTATGCTTCCTTGTCCAATTTATGTTAAGTATATTTACAGGAATGTGACTTATGGATGGCAGAATGATTCCAAAGGATTTGAATTGTTAATTCAGTGTAACACGACAGTCTCTCATCAATCACTTCTAGACTTATTCTTCTTTAGAGACTCCTCTAAATCCTCTGTTTAGAGTGGGTTACAAGTTCTTCATCTAAGAATGAAAATATATTGTAAACTGGAATTCTTGCACCTCCCTGCTTTTGGTCAAGCCATTTGGTCTTTAAAACTGCAATCATTTAATGAGCAGGCATTGCAATAACTTTGCCAAATATTTTATTCTCAGGGAGTTTCACAGTTGCAAAGAAAATATCACTGATGTATGGTCAAATATTGCAATTCTGAATGAATTCAATGAATTACCATTGAAATATTTTTTCATATTTTTAATTTAAACACTTCCAATGTCATCAGCACTAGCTATGGCTTTCTATGAGAAATGTTCCCTTTGTGTAAGCTGCTTTGGAGTATAAATTCAGTAGAAAGCAGATTTAATCCTGGTTTCATTCACAATTCTTTTTGACCTATTTGTCAGGAAAACCCTTTGACGTCAAAAGAATTTTGACTGCTGCTGTTTCCAACATCATTGTTTCTATTCTACTTGGGAAACGCTATGAATATGAAGATGCCACATTTCTAAGA